CGTGCCATCTTCAGTGAGGAACTGTCTTTTTCGTCGTGTAGGTCGTTTCATACCGCCCCATGCCGACCCGACTACACCTTATGCTTTAGAGAGGTTGCCACGCCCTCAGAGGTACACAATTATTTTGCGCCCGGACCTCCCCCTGATAGACAAGGGTTGAGAGGGGTCACAGAGAACAATGAAGTAACCTGGAGTGAGAGAGGGACGTGGATGAGGACACGAGGTCACCTTTCTTGGGCCCCGAGCCTTAAGCACATTGTACCACCCGTCGTCGTCGTAGTTCGACATTAAGGGGGCTACGACTCCCTGGGTGGATAATATTAACTATTGTGAAAAATTCGTCATTATCTAGTGCTATACATAAACGGAAGTCAGCTTGCATCGCTCTTCGCAAGAACAGAAAATGGGCATTCTCCTTTTTGATTTGTTTCTGCTGCTATGAGTTTATGCACATGCTTCCCGAATCTGCATTGCCCAGTCAATAGTTTTACTATCATTCTATTCCTAAAACGTCCTAGATTTAGTAGGTCTGCCGTTAGTGTCTGCTGTGGTCTTTTAATGGAATTTTTCGCAGCCCATTGTTTTACAGGATCTACGATTTAGCAATTTGGTATGGCTCAAAATGGTTCAGGGATAGAAGTTCAGATCGATTCTTCCAATCCGAATTCCACTTTGCCCCATTGCAAATATAACATACAGCGTTAATTTTAGTCCTCCCTCTTCCCGTCGATTTGATTAAAAAACCAGTTTTAATTAAATATATGATTAACAATAATATTGTTTGTGTTTCAGTCGTGTGTGAGATCCTTGTAAATCACTGTAATTAAACTTCTAAAAAGTTGAAGCTTAATGCATGACAGTGTAATATATCATTAAAATTGCGTTTACAGTTTACAAACAGCAAATAAATATTGGTCAGAATCTAAATTAAATTAAAACTCTTCGCGAAATCCTAACTAAATAATATAACCAGCCATTTCATCAATGAAATTCCTCTTCTGCTTGTTTATTGTTTTAATTTTTTGACTAAGTGCTTTATAACCTTTATAAACCTCTGAATAGCAGCTCTTACTTCTTTGATAATACAGACGCATAATCTTGTTTCACTTCTGATCCGAAACGCTCATGAAAAATCTGTACCACTAATGAAAGTTCGGCTTTTACTCCAGGTGGCCCTATTTGCTTAGGGACCCCTTTTTTTGCCTCTCCGGCTGGGATTTGAATCGCATTTTCTGCTGCCGGAAGAAACTCATTTTTCGTAAACCGATTACCCCTTATCGAATTTTGACTGTCCACAGCATCACCCCTCGACATCTGTGCACACACACAAACCCCCACCGTCCTGCAAACATTTACGTCAGTGGTTAAAAGGTCCTGAATGCCAGGTGTCACGTTTTTGCAGTTGAAAATGTAAAATATTCTTACTTTAAGTTATTACTACGTACGAAAACATGTGATGTCGTATCATCCGTGAAGTTTCTTTATCAGTATTAGACATAAATTGGTGGGACTTATGATATTAGCGGTTGTTTTAGCTTAATGCAATAATAATCATGAATATCGTTAATGATGATATAAAAGCCCTTCCCTCGTATTTATGCATGGTCCACTTTTTCGGTCAATACATAAAAAAATTGTTTGTGAGAGAACCCAAATCCGATGGACGGTGAGTTAAAACACAGATAGCTATCATTATCTCGCTGTAACCTGTTTGTTGTTGGTTAGTAATTGAAAAAACTATCACGTTTCTATTCTTGCAAATGAAATTTCAGATCAAAGAAAATCACTATATCAACAAAGCGAGCCGCACTAAATCCTATGCTGTTCTATCATATTCTAATTTGTTGAGATGTAAATATCATTTCTAAAATAATTCCATATCGTTTTTGATGGTGTCAATTCCATGACAATTTCAGGTACTTTTTTAATGCCCTTATGTATTGCTTACTACCCAAGCAAGTTGATATTATATTGTACGTATTTTTGGTGGGAAATGAAAGTGTGCAGAAAATTGTATGCGCGAGGTGGAAATCGAACCCACGAACGCAGGGTCTGCGCGCTTAGAGTTTGACACGCTAACCACACGGCTACCGCTTTTACTAATCAGTGGTTCTTGTGATCTTCAGGCACTTGTAAATAAATTATTTGGACAATAACTGAACCGTTTTGTTCCACTACCTTTGTAATTGTGTAAATTCCGTCCTCTCAGAACGGCTCAGGTTTTTGTGCGATGAACATCTCGATGTGCTTATTGCAGTACGCACGTTAAGTAAAGTGTTCCCAAGTTTTGAAAAATCCGGAATAATATGAATAGGCTAAATATAGTAAGCGAAGGATATATCTTGTCCCTCATCCCTGTAAAGCTCAACCAATATCTTGGGCCCTCGGGAATCACACCTGAGGTTGAGCATTATCCTGGTAGTAAGTAATCCCTTTGCTATTAACCAATTATGCAGGTAATTTTTGAACGATTGCGGACTTAAAAGGTTAAAAGTAATCGGCCTCTATACACCATACGTACCGCGACCAGATCTAGGACTCCTTATCAAGCTTGAGGCTTGTTCTCAAACTTTGTTAAGGACTCCCGCGAGTATCCTTCATGCCTGTACTTTTTCTCTCTCTGAAGTAGGAACCTCTGCTTGCATAGACATACGCATAAATGGAGTCCCACTTGGTTTCTTCTTCCTTCCAGTAGCACAACGGGCTTGTTTCTGCGCTCATAGTGTATACGTATCCCTCAGGAGTCTACAGTGTTCACTCAGTCCTTCTATCATTCTAGTCCCAGTATGTCTTACTTTCTGAACTTTTTACCTTGCTTCTGTCCTATAACAAATCCCTGTATAATTGAGAACTTACTCTTAATCTATTGCCCTATCTACGAGTATCTACATTCTCTGCAGTTTAGTATGCCACCAAAGTATTCAATAGGTATCCTCTTCTAACTTAGTTGGCCACTGTATCTAATTCTTCGTTACTCCTCTGCCCTGGTACACACAAAGAGGGATAATTTTTGGTTATCCCAATGTCTGATAGGGCCATGATACAATCCTAAATGGCTCTGGACTTATCCTATAGTATCGCACGGTTCTCCGAATTGATGATTTTTCTTTTGTTAATAATAACTAGCCTAATAATCTTCTTACATAGAGTTAATTAGCCACACAATTTTCTTGAAAAACGGTGGCTTATTGCCGAATTCTAGTACTAGGCTTATTTCCATAGATACCAGCTGCTGACCTGGTCTCTTCACACTCAGTCTTAGAGCCATTTGAATACCAGGCATAGTCGGTACTAACTGTGATCTCTTTCTCCCAGATAGTCCATCAGGTATTTTTATTTGAGATTTTTAGCAAATAAAAATTTTGGGGTTATGGCATCAACAAGCACCACAATCTTGACTGTTTGAAGCTACTCCCGAATTTTAATCACTGCTTGTTTTGTGTTATGCTATTGAAGCATGTCTCTCCAACACCTGCGAATTGTGACACTAGCACCTCTCTGGAAGAAGATGTTTAGTGAAATTAGACTCAGAACGACTTTCTAGACAGCAGTGGGCTCTGATATCTTCATTTTTTGCTTCAACCATTTTATATATTCACTAGAATTAACAGTTTGGTGAATGGAAGATGCTCATAATAACGAACCCACTTCCAATCCCACCAAATGCACTTACATGAAAATGTAACAGGGTATTGTTGTTGTAAACGGTGTATCGTTTTTCCAGAAATTTCCACTCCAGTTTCAATTATTCAAAGTCAACATATGAGGAATCTATTACAGCTCTCCAACAAAAATACCCAACTTCAGATTGCTTTAAAACAATTCTATGCGATGTTTGGTGGTTAGTGACCGTTAATCGATAATTACTCAGAAATCGTGAGATGCGGTCTGGTGTGATGTAGGTTTCAGAAAAACATTTTCTTTACACCCGTTTCGATCTTTATTGGGATCGAAACGTTGACACGATAAAGAAAATATCTTTCGAAAACCTACATCACACCAGATCTCATCTCACAATTTCTGAAAACCTACACCACGCCAGATCGCATCTCACGATTTCTGAATAATCATCTACTAACGGCCACTAATCACCGCACACGTAATTTACTATGAAAACGTCTGTAAGTTGTTTTACTGGATGAGAAAACTGTTGGCAGGTAAAGATTTCTGTGAAGTGTGTTATTGTTTAAGTAAAAAGGCGCAGTAACAATTAGTCTTAATATTTCAGATTGAAAGATTTGTAATCTTTGAATACTGGAATTTTTGGCCTATTCATAAGCTTAGCACACGTACATCCAAATAAGTTTGAGTAGATTTGTTTGTCGAAAGTTTTGATTGTAATGGTAATTGTGATTGCCTGTTGATTAAGGCATAAAGCATTTTAAATCATTTGCTGAGTGTTTGTTTTTTTAATCGTATGTACGGATTCCAAGTTAGGCTTCTATCAGATAAATGAAAATCCTAAATAGTTAACTTTGTCGGATTGAGAAACAGGTTTATTGTAAAGTGCATGCTAGGACATTTGTCACGACGGAGTGTAAAGGTGATATGTCATGACTTTGAGGGGTTAAAATTTATTTTACAAAGTTCTATCTTTCAATTGTTTATATGTTGTTTTAAAAATATATATTTTACGTGCATAAATTTTGTACATGTAATTTAAATTAGGAAAAAACTTTGTGAAAATAATAAAACTTGGTACGGACTTATTTATCAACCTGATACATATGTAACGATGTATCAGGAAAAGTGACTGAAAAAGTTAAAAATTCACCACCAACTTACACAACACTGAGTTAATGATCGGTTTGTATTTCGGGAGAGTTTTATTGATTTGCATCATTTTTTGACCACCTTGCTAAAAACAGATTCAATATTTGAACAAACATTTTATTACAATTTGACTTGATTTACATTTGTTTCTTAATGCGAGAAAGTTTTGGATAATTTAGCTAAATTTTGTTATCTTGTTTTCTTGAATTTCAAGATAAACTATTTAACTAATTGGAGCGAACTAAATTAATAGAACATAGGAAAAATAATTGAAAAACAATAATCTTGAGTTTATTGGAATGTAACACCGGTTTTCCTGCACTGTGCACTGTAATATTAGCGATCTCTGCCAGCCAATCTTTTCGGTTTTCCAAATTTGAGAAAAGGCCCTTTCCGCCCTTGATTATTGTATTGCATTCTGTATTACTCGTGCTAGTAGACAACAAAATGGCTTTTAGATAGCCGCCGCAAACGAGCCCACCGCCCACGTCTCCAGCACAAAAATCCGCTTTGTTTTGTAAATCAATGCAGAGTTTGCCCTCGTTCCCTTTATCCGGCAGCTTACAGTAAACAGTTTTGTCCATGACGTGTTTCCTTTTTCCATCTTCTTTCTCGTTTATCCTCCCATAGCTGACGATTTCGCAGGAATCCGTTCGAACGAAGCCTACACTGACGTGCGATTTAAATTTTTCTTCTGTACGCATCAGCACTATATCTGAGGTGGAACTGTAATTCGGAGGGTACTCTAACCTTTCAATCAGCACTAGTAACGGTAAGTTTCTATCCGGCAGGACAGCATACTTTTTACCTGTTTTGTTTGGAAGGCAAAAGGCCACAGATATCGCCCAGTTATCATTTATTAATATTCCCGAACAACCGATTAATGTCGTAATGTCAACGATACTTACTATGTAGTTAACAGCAGCTAAACTGACAGCACCGTACATTTTACTGACAGTGATGGAATAACTCAATGCTATTAATAAATCGCGGTAATTGTATACACTTGGATAAAACACACGGTTTTAAATTGAAAAAAACAACAACATATGGTTTAAAAACGTTTTTAACATTTTTAGGAATTGATTGTCAATTTTCATTGTCCTTTGTCGACCTACTTTCGCTTTCATTTAAATGTGTTTCAGCTTCACGCCGTCTTCAATGAAGAACTGTTTTACAGAACAACCAATGAGAGATGACGGACTCAGTTAAGTGAGCAAGGATCAATCAGTTCATTGTCTTTACTGACTCGTAGGCCAACAACCACCAACTTTGCTGATGGAGGCAATGTATAGAAATATACATATATTTACGTACAACACCCGATGATAAGTCACCTAGTATCGGGATCTACGGTCTCGTCCACTGCTCCGTAATTATCCACGAGGCGAGTTCTCTCCATCCGAGGTCACGTTGGCCATTTCATCAAAGAACCGGGGTGAACCTGAGTGACAGGTTCAGATTAACTCAGATGCAAAGTCCGTGAGTCTGTGTCAGTTGAGATGATATTAGATGAAGAGACCAAATACAGAAACTGGTCAAAATCAGAACCTGAGCCAAGGTCAGTTGAAATGGATCGAATACATAACAGGATGGCCAGTGTCAGTTGAGATGGAATCAAACGCAAAGATCATGAATCAGAGTCAAATCTATTGAAATGGAGTCTGAAACGGAGAATGTGAGTCAATGACAGTTGAGATGTAATCGGTTGCTGGGAAAGCCAGTGAATGTTGAAACAGAGTCAGATGCTAAAGCCGTCAATCACTGACAGGGAGTTACAATGGACAGTTAGATTTAGTCCGAGCCAGAGTCAGAATCAGAGTTAAAATTAAAATATTCTCCTACACATAGAAGGAGAGTCAGTTACAGTGACACCACTCACCTACTTCCGGAGGTTGTTTTTCCGAAGAATTAATCAACAGTGGAGAGTCTGCAACAGTGTTTCGCCTTTGAACCTTCCTTTGAGGCCTAAGATCCAGCTCAAGAAATTCCTTCACCAACATGCAGACGGTACGCTGAGCAATAAAACTGATTATAAGTCAGGGGCGCCCTTATAATGAAATATTTATTCAATTAAGCATTTTTTCCCGTGAAAGACCGCTGTACCACTTTCAGGTATCACTTTTCAGAAAAGAGAGATCTGTGCGACAGCTTATGGTTATTATGTTATTTATTATACGCTACAACAACCTTTAAATACCGTAATTAACATTTATACAAACCGTATCTTTATAATATTTTCTAGCATCAGTGAATCAACAAGAAATCAGTGGATCAGTAACAGTTCTTACATTTTAAAAGTTTATGAATACATGATATAAACAAACATCAATTCACTAATTTATATTCAGAAATTAAAATGATCCAAAGTCACATCTTGGCCTTGGGTGGTGAGATTGTAGAGATTTTATAAGATAACTGTTAATTTATTAGAATGATACCTCAGCGTTTAAAAAGAGTATGAAGAAGTATGTAAATAAGAAACCAGTTGATTTTGATTTGTTGAAAATTCAAAATCTTTCTCACGGAATCCTATCACAACGGTAAACAGTTGCGGTCGATTAGGTCGAATTTACAAAAGTCCAATTTTTATTTATGACCGATTACATCCGAGAACACAAAAGGGCTACAATTGAGATTCGCACCCCGTCCAAACTTCTGAAAAGGGGACACTCGGACATGGGCGGAATAATAAAAGAGCCCGTTATTGTCGTTGAGAATGAGTTTCAAAGGGTCTTCAAATAAACAGTTCTGAGGTGGCGGCGTGCCGGGTGCAAGAGACACAATGGCCCAGACGGTTGTATTACAAGGAATGGCTTTCAGTGGCACACAGTATCTATATGAACGCGTTTCATTGAAACTGGCTAATGCCGCGACTCTGGCAAGGACCACCCAGAGATAAATCACTTTAATAAACCCTTTTTGGAGGCTTAGCTAGAGGGCATTGACAATGTTTATGTTGGTGCGCTTGGAAAACGGTCGAAACATCGTTCTTTTCACGCAGAAAAATTTGAATAATTCTAAATTTATACATTCAAACATCCCCCTATAATGTTTTTTCCAATATAATGTTTCTAACGAGAAATTATTTGAAACTGATCAAATTGTATTGTGATGTCAAATAACTAACTACATTGGATTTACGCAGATGCAGAGCAACTTAAATATTATTAAAAACCTTACATAAAATGATTAATTAATTGAAAGAAGTAATTCGGTTAGTAGACGACTAAATATAATGAATTATTAAATACTTGATGATAGATAATAAAATCATGAGTTATCACGTTGCTTTAATAGATAAATGAATTGCTAGATATACAGGGTGTATCAACTTCTACAATCCACCAATTTAATTCGGTAACGTTTAACTTTATCAAAAAATGGTCTTATTGAAACGATTATTTGGAGATTGTGAGATGCGGTCTGGTGTAACGTAAGTTTTCTCAAAACTATTACTAATAATACCACACCAAATTTATCAAATAAAGATATATACATACCCATGCCATTCATTCACGGCCTATCACATAAATTAAACCCATTTCTCTCTGATGATAACTGTTAAATAGCCTTTGAACACTATAAAACAATTCACACACTTTTTTTCCAAAATTAAAGATCCCACACCAATAACAAATAAATCTGACGTAATTTACAAAATCAATTGTTTAAACTGTTCGGCAACTTACATCGGAATTACATCCCAATATCTGGATAAGAGAGTAAAGCAACATAACTATGCCTGCAAAAAAAAACCCAAACAAAATCCTACCCACCATTTTGAACACCAACACAATTTCGACGTTAACAATTCAAAAATATTACACACAGAGCAAAACAAAAATAAATATAACTTTTTAGAAATGGTTTACATCAACAGAGATAACCACAGCATCAATTACAAAAGAGATACATGAAAACTACGCAGCTCCGCAAATATCATTAAGAAAATTCAATATTATTAACATACATTTATCATCATCAAATCACACAAAACATATAAAACAATCATTACATTCCTCACATCAAACATTTCTACAAAGTCTAATTTTTCAACAATTTAGCTTCCTTTCCATAATTTCCCTACTTATATAATCCTGAAGGATAATCAGGCCGAACCATTACCCATTATTTCCATTGTCGGCTCCTATCACCTCAAAGAAGCCGATAGCTCATTAAAAGCGTCTTTCTATCCCTACTTCCTGCTCCTCCCCTTCAAAATCCAACGTAAATAAACATAAAACATCAGTATCTCACTGGCACTCTCAACATGATACACAATAATGACACATCAACACAGAAAACAAATACTTTGAGTGAGTACAAATACTTTGAGTCTAAAATTTTTCGAATTGTATACATTCAATTTATCACATCCTACATATATTTCTATAATTTAAACAACGTTTATAAATCCCAGGCCCTGAAGATGATCTCAATAAATGTCGAAACGTAGGTACGATAAACAATATGTTTTTCTAAAAACTACGCCACACCAGACCGTATCTTACGATCGCCAAATATTCGTCAACTAACTGTCACTAAACACCACACAGTTAATTTTATGATTTTATTTAACTTCATTCACTATCAAAATTAGACATTGAAAATACACTTTTAATTTTCATGACAATGTAAGACCTCCCTGGGCGTACAGTTGTGAAGTGGGGGTTCAACCAAAGATTCCAATTCTCAGTCTCCATCAATTCAGTCTGAAATTCTCCGTCAAAATATAAATTGCTTTTGCTTGCTTTAAACTTTTCGAGTTCAAATTATATTCATAACGACCTATACATCCCGTCTGTACAGGACCTAAACAAACCTCGCAAAAAATAATTTCATCAATCACTGAAAATTTACAATAATCGATTAGTATGACAGTTATCACTTCCAACTCTAGCCGTAAACCTCCAAGACGATTGAAGCGAAAGTGGCCCCGAGACATTCTCATGAGTGAAGATTGACGAGGTTTCAGTATGAAGCAGTGTGGTCACTGGGAAACTTCTACAAAACACTCGAATGACAAATTCAACAAATATATGCTTATTTAAGCATTATTTGTAGTTGGAAATATCAAATAAATGAATTTAAAAAGTTAACACATTTTAAAATTTGTATTCATTTAAATTCTTATTAAAAATAAGTTTTAGGATTAACTTAATATTGCCTTCTTTCAAAAAACCACCAATAGTTTTTGACAAATCATGTTTTCAACAAAGCTTATTGTGTTAAAACTAAAAATTTAAAATTAATAAATAAATTTCCTGGAAATGGCACAAGTTGCCGAAAAGTTGAAGTAAAATTAACATTTTCATAAAATTCTACTTTAAAAAAGACTAAAAGTAAATGAATAATTGTCACCTATATAAAGAAAAAGTATGACAACAACGAAGAAAGAAAAGTAAAAAATACACATATTTGAAAAAATATGCAAAGCATAAAGATAAATTAAACACAAACTTTTGGAAAATTAACTTAACTAAAAAGAATATAGATGTATAGTACAATAAAATAATAAATACATAAAAATCAAATTACTTCGGTAAAATTCGTATATGTATTTTCACGCATGCCTAGCATACCAAAAGAAGCAACGAGAATTCGAAGCAGTTACATGTTATTAGGCAACATCGAGGCATCCAAAAATTTTACCACTCACTTTAAAGAAATATCTAAACAATTAGTTTAAATTAAACCCTTTGATTTACACATATCCGCCAAATGAAATTATATATGCTTTCTATAAGTGTAAATTTGACGTTTCAAATTGTTTTCTTACGTAAGTCGAGAACACCACTCCCCGTAAACCACAAGTTATATTCGTCTTGCGACTTACTATTTGAAAATAACCTTGTTACGGTCGATAGCCATTTTACTTATTTGGTGAAACACTGTACTTTCTCAGACTTATGGCTTAGAATTTTTCATAAAAACAAATTCTGGT